ATAGGAATCCTGGGAAGGATGAGACATTTTACAATGGCAGAATAGAAGCAAGAGTCTTTTCCGTCAGCCGATGAGACCCCAAACTTCTGGAGCTGCTCATCATAGCCCACAAGGCGAATCGATTTGATTATAAATTCAAACCAGCGGCAGTTTTCTTCTTCACAGTAAGTTCTCTGGATTGCTGGCATGGTCTGCTAATTCTCCAACCCACGAGAGCATATGTATACACTCAAGTACCTAGACACACAAGCACACACACATACTACCATCACTAAAATTCAGCACTTTCTCGGCACGATCAAAGAAGGCCTTTGGGGACTGCCTGATCCTTTCTGGGACTTTGAGAGTATGCACACTTACAAAGACCTGCAGAAGGGGTGCTTTGCTCCATGAGTTTTAACAAGAAAAGTAAAGTAGCAACAGCCTTATGTCAAAAAATACACAGGTAAGACACTCTTCTGAAAGACAATGTTTAAATGCAACAGCAACCACTTTGGTTTATTTCCTTTTCCCCAGCTAAACTTGGTAGGCCGTTTTCCTTCACTTAACATTAGCTCCTGTTTTGTGGCGATACCACGCCTTCTTTATAATGATTATTTTAATGGCCACAGCGAGTGGGGATACACCATTATTTACTTGACTGTTTACCTATTGTTGGGCTGTTGAACTGAGCGTGTTTTTATCTGTGTTATTAATTTAAAACAGCACAGAGATGACACGGCATCGCTAATCTAAAACTACAGGGTTTATATATTTACAGCTCACATTTGATTATGAAATTTAATTTGAGAGTAATTAAGACATTTATATTCTACACAGCTCAACAGCATCTAGATTTCCCTGAGCCAGGCAGGCCCAACCATGACTTGCCACTTTCCCAAAGCATTTCCCATTAAATCTAGCACAGGTTATGGACTCTCGCGGCTCTGCAGATTAAGAGATTCGCCCAAAGGACCATCACCTCTAGCTCTATGGGGTGACCTACCCAAGGAAGCCATGTTAGAAATGCAATTCAAGTCTGACAGTCACCTCGAACTTCAAGGCAACCCTTATGCACCAGTGACTGACATGTTCCAGGACCACTGGAAGTCTCCCATAACCCACCCTTGATACATAATATGAGAAGGCCAGAAGGCTGACTCATTCACTTTTCAGATGTCTGATATTTTATTATTGTTATTAATATTATTAGCATTAAAGAAAGGGCCTGAGTTACCACTGGCTAGCCCAGAATCTTTGTGTAGACCAAGCTGGTCTCAAACTTGCAATGATCCTCTTGTCCCTGGCTCCCATGTGTTGGAATTGCAGGTACATGCTACCATGCTGGGCTTAGCTGATGCTTCTTGAAGTTGACCAGGGGTCAGGCCAAGTGACAGATCTCTCTGCTTAGGACAGATTTTTAGAGAATGTTATTCAAAGGGACTTATTCAGGCCACCAGCTGTGCCCTTCCGAGTCTCAACATAGAGGAAGGATGAGGATAGCCTTGGAGTCTCCCCAGCAGGCAGGAGGATTCTGAGGGTCAAATGAGAAGATGGGAGTGAAATGTACAGGCATAAGCTGGCATTTGTTAGCACACATGGCACATGCCTAGGGCCCAGGGAGATGGCTCAGCAATAAAGCACACGCACTGATCCTGCGGAGGACACAAGCACAATTCCCAGCTCCCATGACAGGCAGCTCACAAGGGCCCATAATTCCTGTTCCAGGCACTTCCAACGCCTCTGGCCTTTTTGGAGCATTTCGACTCATACACGTATGCATAATAAAAAAGATAAAAAATCAATCTTCAAACCCGCCCAGCAGGCATAAGGCCCTAGGGTCAACCCCCCAGTGCAGGCCCACTAAAGCAAAGAACTTCCTTATTATTTATCTTTATTTTCTCTAATAAGGGAATAGTCTTTTTACATACTTAGCTAGCAACTCGGTAGAGCACGAAAAGCTGAGAGTTTTGTTTTTTATTATTTTGCTTTTACCACCAGCAATTAATTCCTCTGATTTGTTTTATGAGTTTGATGGTCTGGTCTACCACTCAGCAAACCAGCAGAGTGATGTAGGGAAATTATTTCTGTGCAGTTCCTGGCAAACCCTGATGATGGATAGTGAGGCAGGACAAACTTACTCAGACACACATTTTTCAGGACTGGCAGGAAAAAGGCTGAAAAATTACTAGTAAATTGCTTTTGGTAAAAATGCTCTCTCTTTCAAATTTCCCCTAGTATGAAGGTCTCCTTCACAACGATGGCACGATACATTCTGACACACCTAGATGGCAAGGGAGCCAAAGAACAGTCACAGATAAGAATGAGGGTTAGGATTTAATTTTCTTTTAGCCCCAGTTTCCAAGGCTCTTCCCCCCGCACCAACTTCTGAGTATATGTCTTTTACTTTTCGGGGGTAAGTATCCCTGAAGGATAGCTATTATCTGTGCTGGCAGGCTTGCTCTGCTGCCCTCCACCCCCGGGCACAATCCCCACCTCCACTGTATGAGTCTTGCTATTAATGTATTACATCTCTGGTCCATTCTACTCCTATTCCTTCCTCTCTAAACCTGTCCTGGAGGTTGAGTTTCAGATTACAGACTTCTGCAGATACCCCCAGCGTCTTACTTGAAAGCCTTCATTCTGAGGCCGTATCTCCGGGACAATAGAAGCCTTGGGCACTCATGGTTGGAAAGGCTAATGCAGGGTTGTCATGGTGGTGACGCTCCCTTGGTGACATTGCCGGCTGTCACACTGGAAGGAAGGTGTGCTTCCATTCTCTGGAAGAAGCTAGGGCCACTGCTGACTGCCGCTGCTGAGCGTTCTGCACTGCTCAGAGCCCATGCAGCATCAGCCGGTCATCTGCCTAACCTGCCAGTAGAGCAGCAGCTGAGTAACTAACCATGGTGGAAATTGAACCAAAGGCTGCAGAGGTGATTTTAGGGTACCTCCCCCAAACCCATTAGTGTTCAGCAATATTATGAAGAGTTGGGGATTGGATGTGCCTCTGAGTCTTTCACGCTGCAAACACCTGTGGCTTGCAAGGCAGCAAAGGCCAGTGTAGCAGAAGTATAACTGCAGAGAAGGCATAGGTCATGTGATACCCCTAAGCCAAGGGCTTGGCGTTCCTCTCTTCCTCTCCTTCATCAAGCCCTTGAGCCTACGGGCCTACAGCGCTGACTAAGGATTAAGGACAGGAGAGGCATTGGACCTGTACTGTACGTTGGACATCTGGGTTGGAAACAGAATGTCCAACGTACAGTACTTGGGATTTGGAGGGCCATGGCCTCTCTGTGCTCTTCACCTGCTGTGTGAGGGTGGACAAGTGGCATAGCATACCTCTGTGATATGGGAATGTTGCCACCAAATGTAAGAAAAATAATTCCCTGACCCCGTAAGTAGCGGCCCCTCTGTAAATATCTCCATTGTCATGGTGTTTCCTGAGACTGTCTCCTCCAGGTCTCTGGGCTGGGGTCTTACCTACAGTGCTACCATTGTCAAAATCACTACCCTTGCAAATCCTCTGCCTCAGGACAGAGCTTTAGTTCTGTTGACATGGGGCTGGAGAGTGCCTCTTTTACAGACCTTGGCTCATCTCTGTGACTTTGAAACCCTGAACGCTGGGGTTTTGATGCCAGAATCTTCCGGATACCCATTTCCAACCAGCCGACCCCCACTTTACTCTCAAATGTCAGGAAGCCAGCGACAGTTATATCACAAGCAGCACGCGTAACTCTATCTTCTGTTTATCTTTTGCCAAACCCAGGATTGAACCCAGGTCCTCATAAATACTAAGAAAATGCTCTACTGAGCTTTATTTCAGACCTGATTTTACTTTATATGGGGCAAGGACTCCCTGATCTGCCCTGCTTGGCCTTGAACTCACTCTGTAGTCCAAGCAAGCCTTATACGTGTGATCTTCCTGCCTCAGCTTCCTAAGTAGCCGGAATCAGAAATCTGCACCACCAGGCCAGGCTTCACTGAATCTTGCTTCAAGTGCAGCCCCCGAGAAAGTTCTTCGGTGTGTGATAAGCAGCTGCGAATCTGCTTATCTAATAAAGGGAAGGCACTTACCCTCCCGGTATTCCCCAGAGAATTGTTGGCCACCTGCATCTCTTTAGCTGCATTTAATAGCTCAGCCCAAGATGAATCTGCATGATTAACAAAAAGCCTCCTGATTTTATTTTCTTTCAGCATTTAAATGCTAGAACAACTACCATTGTTGTCATTTTTTTCCAGGGGTTGTGATCAAAACACAAAATTTGATTCTAGAATGAATAATTTATTTTTTAAAGTAATTTCCCAATACTATTCTCCAAGGAATCGCAGCAAAGAGATGGTATTGCTGTTTTTGTAGACTCAGGGAAACCCATGTTGTGCTCATGACTGATGTTTCTAGAAGCCATGCTCCGCAACATGACTTATTCCCGGAGATATCCCTGTGGAGGAATATGGCTGGCTCCCCACAGAGTCCATGTTGACTGACCCTGGTTCCTGCCTGCAAGGGCGTTCCTCTACATGGGTCTATCTGCTCAGGACCTAGACTCTTCAGAAAGTCTTTAATACTGTTGGATTCCAATAATAGATTAATCACATCATCCTCCAAAAAAAATCGTAAAAATCCTCAAATAAATAAGTTGCATTTGGTAAGTCATCTGCCTGCTAGGGGAGACACATGTGAAAGATGATCTGCAGAGCTGACGAAGCGGCGACACTGGGCCGCTTGATGAATGTAGTAAAACAGATTTGTCTAACGGGGAAACAAACATTACTATCAAACAGAAACCAAGTGTGTCCCACATGGAAAAGTAAGCAGGCTTTAATATCGAGAAGCATCTCATGCTGTGCCTGCCAGCAACTCCCCGCCTGTCTGATTTTTCTTAACATAAAGGCTGACCTCACCTGTTTAAAAATAATTAGGAAGCCGGCAGCTGTAATTTGGCTGGAAGTCCATATTCGGCTGCATTTGTGCGTGTGTGCTTCTGACCCACTAAAGCTTCTGTTGCTGTCTCTGCATGCAGGCACCATGGTCAGCAAGGACTCCGGTAGATGCATACTGACGACACCAGAGCGGGAAGTGGAGCCAGCTGCCTGCCTGGCCCTGGAGATGAGATATGCCCTAGACCCTAACCGGCAGATCAAAAAGCGGAACAAAGCCCTGCAGGTGCGCTTTAAGGATATCTGTGAGGCTCAGAATGAGCAGAGGGACACACAGCTGTCTTCAGGGTCTCTGGGGGAGAAGCGAGAGGCCAAGGCTGTGGCCTGTAGGACGGCCTACCGTAAGTATATGACAGTGCCCGCACGCCGATCCATTCCCAACGTCACCAAGAGCACGGGCGTGCAGACCTCACCAGACCTTCGCAAGTGTTACCAGACATTCCCTCTGGACCGCAAGAAAGGCAGCCTCAAAGGCCTGCCGGCTGCATCTGCCTTCAAAAGCCAGAACAATGGGTTTCTAGCAGGTTCAAAAGAGAAGAGCGAGGCTGGGTCCATGGAGGAACCCCGGCCTTGCAGCGCGGGAAGGATTCACAAGACCACAGCTTTGGTTTTCCATTCCAACGAGCATGTGAATGCGCTGGACCAACCTTCTGGGGTCAACTGTGCAGAGCTCTGCAAGACTCCAGACATGCTTGGCTACCCTGAAGCTCTAGTGCAGAACTCTCGGCCTCCCTCTGAGGAGCCCGTCCACCAGCTGCAGGGGAGAGCTAAGCCGGACAGGGGCACCCTTGACTCAGAGGAGCCCACTCCGCTTACCCATGGAAGGGTATTTAAAACAGAGGTCGCCACTGTGTACCCGCCTGCCATCAGTACCAGGGCCCCTGAGCCTGGCTTGTCGAACTCGGCTGCTGCCAGCCAATGGTCTCTCTGCCCTGCCGATGAGGAGCAGAGGAGGGCTGCCCACCTCAACGGGCTGCAGGCATCCACAGGCTCTGCTCTGGCCTGCTCACCCCCAGTGCAGTGCCTGTCCCCAGAATGTAGCGAACAGCCCCCGCAGAACCAGCCTAGCCCCACAGCTGGGGTGGGGGATGAAGAACGCCAACAAATTGTGCCTCAAACCGAAGTGGTAGACCTCAAGGCCCAGCTGCAGGTGATGGAGAACTTAATCAGCTCGAGCCAGGAGACCATCAAAGTGCTGCTGGGAGTCATTCAGGAGCTGGAGAAAGGAGAGGCCCACCGGGAAGGGTATGTATGACGACTCTGGCTTATTCCCCGCAGGCTTGCCACTTGCCTCCTCAACAGCCCCAAGGTCCCATCCCTAAGGAGTACAATGCCAGTGTTTCTGTGTCAGGGCTGCAGTTGGAAGAACTAGTGAGTTATGAGGATCACAGGTGTGTTGAAGGCCAGGCTTCTTGGCACACAACATCTCTGACATAGATTTGTTCGTTAGTGTTTACCTGTCTGAACTTGGTTTCAAGCTCTACCTGAATATTCAGAGTTGTTGGGTCTTCCTTGTGACCTATTCAGATTAATGTTTCTGATCTTAATGAATTGTAATACATATACCAGTTCAAAATATCTATATATGGGTCCCATTTGATTCTTAGGAATCCCATAACAGAAGGGGGAACAAATCAGATGTCACTAGGAAAAGTAAATGCTAGCGAGTGATAAATGATTTCAATGGGATCAGCATGCTGGATCATATAAGGTTTTATGTGATAGTCGTTTTGGTTTTCACTCTTTTCCTGGAGCACACAGAGGCAGAGGCCCTCTTTAGGCAAGCTCTATCCATAGGTGATTAAAAGGCAGACACCTGCACCCATGAGTTGTGTTTGGTGTCCATTTGGATTATAACACAATCCAGCATCAACAGGGGCTTGTTGGACTTGACCAGCCATTAATTGTCGAAGCTAGAAAACACATCTCCCACAGCCCTCACTGTGGGCAAGGCTGCCAGGGCTGGTTCTGGGCATCTTCAAACAGTGCCCACGGCTCCCCAACCTTAGTCCGATCTGCCAAGCCTTCTCTTGTACAACCCTTTGAAACCACCCCATCTGCTCCACTATGTTCTGGAGGTTGGATGTGAGGCTGTGTTCTCTTGTCCATGTGACTGGTGCCCTTTACTCTGTGGGTGAATTGAGCTGGCAGTCGTGTGACAGAGGGAAGCCAGGTAATACATTATCATTGCAGCAGAACACCCAGACTCAAAGAATCAGTAGAGGATTGATGTAGCCAAATTAGGCAGAGTCTGCTTGGTGTGAGCAGTGGAGAAGAAACAGCCTCTGCCTTCCAGGGCAGAAGGTAAAGCCAATGCACTAGTTTCAATGGCGAGGTACCCGGTGCTTGTCCTACCCTTGACTTTGGCCATTCCAACCCTGTTGACAAGTGGAGCTACTTCTTAGTACCGGTCCCACCTCTGACCAACAGTCAGCTTCCAGTGGCTATGAAGCAAAAAGCATGACTTGCATAATGTAAAGTAACCTGATGGGAGGCTAGTAGTCAATCTGATACCACAGAGTTGCAGGAAGCGCATTTAATGCTGAGAGGCCATCTCCATTTTCATCCATTTCAGGCATTTGAATCCATACACATCCAAAAGTCACACACTGGGGAAGCAAGTCACAAAAATGAGAGGGTCAAACAGGAACCAATCCTGGACTTTGATATAGCTGGTAGTCACTGGAGCCACACAGCACATGAAAGGATATCACCAACACGAGGTGGAAAACAAACCTCAGCAAGTGGTGTGAAGCCAGATGTATATATTATGGTAATGTGTGTACCCACTGGGAGTCACACTCAAACAGAAACGTCTCTGAGCATCCTAGGAAGGGAAAACCATGCGTTTAGCTAGGCACTTCCTTTGTGCTAGCAGAACAAGCACGGGGCCTTGCTTCAGTGGGGTCTTATAGCTTCCCAGGGGCTCTATGTGGCTAACCAAGAGAGTTCGAGTCCAGTGAGGTATGTCTGAATGGAAGTTCTGGCTCTGGTGACTTGCACAAGGGCGACACCTAGAAATTGGGGGCATTTGCTCATCTCACAGTGGAGAGTGAGAATTACACAGGTGATTCTCAGCTGTATTCATCCCAGGGACAGATTCTGTACTGGGTAATGGCTGCCAGTATCTACGTATTGGTCTGATGATTGGTTTTGGATAGGAGGAGGAGTGAACACTTGGGTCCCATGTCTGAGTCCAGTGCAATGAATGCATCCCCCTTACGCTGCTGAGCACAAAGGGTGCGACTCCACATTGTCCTGGAACCCCTGGGGATTCTCTGTCAAGTGTAGTGACTGCTAGCGACCTGTGCCTAATGAAACCCATCAAGTCAATCGTACTTCGTTACACTTGACCATTCACTCTTTGCGCACACTGGCCAGGGTTTAAGAGTTTAGTAGTGTCAAACTGAAGGCAGAGGAAAGGGTCTCCTGTCATAAAAAGCCCTTTCTTCCAGGATCCCAAAGTATACACAGAGCCCTAGCCATCTTAAGACTCGACACCTTAAAATTGTGGTCCCCTCCCTCATCTTTAAAACAAACCTCTACTTAAGTCATTGTCCATACAGGACAAGCTCAGGGTGTCAAGGCAGGTCCATAGGATGGTAGCCTCTCACATCTGATTCTAGAACAATCATTCCCACCCATCTCAGGGAACCCTCTGGATACATTTAACAGCGAATCAATTAGTTTCAAAGCCCAAGGGTACTATGATGGTGGCTCTTCCCATGCCATGCCCAAGATCATTAATTTGACTAATACTCAAATTTCTCACTTCCCTTTTCCCTTGAGAATATCACAGAGGGGAGCAGCCTCTAGGGGGCAAAGCAGAAGCTGTGAGGATGGGGTCCCAAGGAGTCTCCAGAAGTTGGAGAGTCAGCCACAGCCAGTTCCCCACTGTGACACCTGTAATGACCCTGGGTAAGGATAGCAACTGTCCATTTCCCTGCTGTAAATACTTCATCGTCAGGTGGTTGCATCACCTCCTATATCCTGAAAATCTCTGCTCCTCTAATGACCCAAGCCCAGTCCTGAATGGTGCCACTGTGGTCCTGAAGGGAGAAGGGGTTCTCAGGACATAGGTACTTCATGGAGGCAGGAGATGACTGTTTCGCTTGTACCCCAAGTTAAAACAACAGGAAATGCATTCTACTTTACAATGACTAGTGTTTAATATGTTAAAATTTATGTTTTATCTTTCTGTGTGTTTTGAGGTTGGAGGCACAAAGGAAAACCTGAAAAGGTCTATTCTCTCTTTCCACCACATGGGTCATGGGAATGGAACTTAGGTCATTGAGCTTGATGGCAGGTGCCTTTGCCAACTGAGCCATCTTGCCATCGATATATGTATCATTACATATTCACTTCCTGTGAAATGACAAAGAATTGAAGGACCCATCAAATGCCAAAAGTTGTCTTTAGGAAGTAGTCTCAAGCCTCTGAGTCATTAACTACGTGAAGCCTCATGAAGCAGTGGGTTAGTGGAGGCTTCTACTTCCTTTTCCCGCGCAGGAAAGCACAGAGTAGCTCTGGATAAGAAGTCACCAGCATTAAGGAGGATCTCTTAATGGGGTGGGCCCAGTGCAGCCATGGCTGTGTATATGTGACACACCTTATACCCACGTTTCCATAATGTTCCGTGGGCTAGAACTGAGCCTTTGAGGGCCATGGGTCTTCTCTTGTGTTAATGTCTAGACAGTGTGAGGGGAGAGCGATATCTCTGAGTCTGACCGGCAGCCTCTACGTCCCCTGGACTGTACTCAGTGTATAACATCTTTGATAGGGCTTTTCATTATCCAGGCCATCAGACAAGCTCTTCCTAGTGGCTTTTTCTCTCCGAAGGGCCATGTGCCACCAGGCAGCTGCTCTCAGTCCCTTCCAAGCTGTGCTTCCTAAGAGACGCTTCCATTAGTCTTGTTTGCTCATCTGCGTGCCTGAAAGGCTTGAGCAGAGCAGTCTTGTCGTAGGCAACTGAGCTTCAGTTGGGTCTTCGTCAAGTAGGAGTGGTGGAGGCTTATGTATGGTGTCTAGGACAAGCCCCGGCCTATAGGACCACAGAGTGGTATAGGCTGTAACCCATGGGCAGCTTTACAGAGGATCCCTTCTGTCAGGAAGTGGGCTGTGCGAAAACTTCCTCACGCTCGTGCTTTTTAGTCCCCTGTAAGCCATTTGGACAATTCACTCAAATCACCCTGCTTTATGCAGCACAGGCGGCATTTGCTCACCAGGCTGGCATGAATGCCAAGAATTACCCTGCCCGTTTCAGCGTTCTCAGGATTATTCTGATCTCTTCTTGGGAAGTGCTGGGTCACACAGGCTACCTGCAGGACTGATGTGTTTGTTAAAGGTTGAGAGGCGAGCAAGCGGTATATGGGATTAAAAACCCAACTAGTTCTTAGAACGGGGGAAATTCCCTGTAGCCACCATGGGCTTCCTAAACTGGAGAGCCACTGATCAGTTTTCTGAAGGGTCTCACTGCTTAGCGCATTGCAGCCCCAGCAGTACGCTGTGGAGAGATAGCTCTTCCTGCCTATAAGCTAACCCATCCCAGACACTCTAGGGCAATGGTTCTTAACCCTGCTAATGCTGCAACCAGTTCTTCATGTTGTAGCGACCCCCAACCATAAAATTATTTTCACTGCTACTTCATAAATGTAATTTTGCTGCTGTTATGAATTGTAACGTAAATATCTGATATGCAGGATATCTGGTATGTAACCCCTGTAAGAGGGTCATTTGACCCCCAAAGGAGACGCAACACACAGGTTGAGAACTGCTGTTCTTCAGAAGTAATATATTCACTGACTCGTAAGAGTCCAGTGATGCTTTTCCAGTCAGAAATGACCAGACACCCGTGGGAGAGACCACCTTCAAGGATGTTAAACGTAAGGCCAGGTCCCTTGGAGCATTCAGGTTTGGGAAGCGGAGGATATCCAGAGCACGCCAGGCCTTAAAATATAGCTAACAGAAAAGCAGATATGACATGCTGGACCTCTGTGGCTAAACTAAGTCAGAAAACACATGAGACTACAGGTGCCTGATTGCTTGAGGAAAGGTTGTAAGGTCGAACACTTAGGCAGGCAGACAGTTTCCTGTCAGTGGGGTATCCTTTAGCCAGCTAACAGGTGGCTTCATGGTGGCCTGACACCCAGTTCTCCCCATTTGGGGCAAACAGTGGTTTAACTAATAATATTTTTATATATTTTTATAATATTTTTTTAATTGAACACACACTTATATAAAAATCC